TAAGCCTATAGTTTTAGGATGTCCCCTATCGATCTTGAGGATTTTTGCGCAACAACTCTACTAAATGAAGTAAACGGTAATTTTGACCGCGAGTCAAGTAGTATATTACCTACACGGAGCCTTTGGGTAATATGACCGTTTGCCCAAGAAAGACCTCCAGGGAAAGCTCTCCCGAGCGATCGGCGTCCAGGGACTTGAATAGAGCCTTACTGGAGGATTGGTAGGGTTTGGGGTTAAGCGTTTAGGGCTGAGGCTTTAGGGTTTATGATCAAGGGTTTAGGGCCAAGGGTTTAGGGCTAAAGGGTTTGCACAACAGCTGGGGTGGAGGATTGGAGATTCAAGGTGACAGGTTCTGGGCATAGGACCCGAAACCCTAAACCATTGGATTTAAGGCTTAGGGGCTTATCAGACTTTGCCGGCTTGCCTGGCTGTTATGTTAGCAAGCTCTGAACGGGAGGGGGGTATGTCTTGGGCCCATGCGGATATGAGAGGGCTATTCGACCAGTGGGAGTAGGTGTGCGTGCTTTAATGCAGCTTGAATAAACCCTACTGCTTCCAACATCACGGGAACGTCCCCCTCTCCATTCCGTCGTTTCCTTAAATGAACTATCTGCTATTTTAATAGAAGGGGTTCAGGGTGTAGGGTTTAGGGAAGGGATTATGTAAAAATGACGACGGAAACTGCACATTATACATCTGAACAGCATGCCGTCAGCAAGAAACACCTGGAACTGTCTCAAACTTTGTTAGCTTGCGAGACGCCGCGGCGTCGCCCGCGTAGCCCATTTTTTGCATGCCTCCGGAATGGGGCTGTAGGGGGATAAGGAATTGGCTAAACATTGACCCATTTCGGGACAATCTGCAAGCATCCAAGTTCATGTGAGCTATAGTCTAAACTCCTAATGTCCCTCTCAATAACGCCTATAATACTCCCCTACATAATCCCCTATATAACCTCACTTTCAGGAGTTCAGACAATGGCTCGTTTGGCGTCCAAGCCCGAAAGAACGGAAAATCACATCGGCAGAGAGTAGAAAGAGAGCAGAACCAAACCCAAAGGGTTCACCTTCCCGCGGATATTAACCCTCCTGCCCTGTGATCATGCACGTAGGGCTCCTTTGCAGGGAGTTGGCAATGGTGGTTTTTCCGGTGGTGGGGGAAACGTGCGTTATTCTTAAGGAGATGGGATTTAGGCACGGCTTGGCAGCTTAGATTTCAGAGTGGACCTTCGTTGTGGCATGCGTACCGGATGAAAGATGGAGTGTCAAAAGCGTAGGCCACACTGCGTCCTTTCCTGCTTCTGCAATCCTTGAGGCAATAATGTTGCGCTTGCAGCGTAGCGCTAGGTTGCCAAATGACGGCCAAGAAACTGCAGAATCCACACGAACAAACATGTGCCACCCACACTATACCACCAACACAAAAAATCTAGAGAAACCAAACAAATTCAAGCCTTTAAAAGGAAGGTGGACAAACAAACCGCAAACTTTCGGGCCTCGCAGGAACTGGCTCTGGCTGATCTTCTGGTCGTTGTCGGGGTCGAAGTGTTTGCCTTGAACGAAGCAGCTACAGGGCAATGTAGTAATGCTACTTTTGGTCGAAGCGCTTGAGCTTCTGTTATGCTGAAACGTGGGTGCCTGAAGCAGCATATCAAATGGTTGGGGTGGCTCAACTGGTCTAGGGTCTGGGTCATAATCTAGCGCGCCGGAACAATGACTTGAACAGTCCTGAGGTCCTCAGCATCTCACTGGATCCAAAAGATGTTCTGCTGTCCAAGGCCCCCCTCAGTTTACGTTTCATCGAGCCAGGTCTCCAGTAGAAGGGACTCTGGAAAATCTGTACACTTAACACGGCCACCAGATAAGGAACAGCGGCACAATGTTCCCCCCTGGCCTCCTTGAGGCTTATGCCTCAAGGAGAAGTTGATCTACCTGATTCTGGCATGCTTTGCAAGCCAGGATGCAGAGGCCTAAATAAGGTTTAGGGTTTATAGGGGTTTAGGGTTTATGGAGGTATGTGCTGTCAGGAAACGCCACCCAAGAACATGCAAACCTATGTCCTGATCCTAAGCAATTAGCGACAGGCCCCCTAACAACTCTGCCAGCTGAAAGGAAATCGTGTTTTTGCAAAAGGAAGCAAACTGGAGTTTTGTCTAGGACTAGTCCTACGTAAGCCTTAATGCTGCAAACTTGTCAACGCCTAATCCCAGTCGCAAGACCCGGAACCCCCAGATAAGATACTGGGTTGCTGTTAAGGAACTTAAATTAAGTTACTATATTGGGAAAACCCTATTATTTACTGTATATACCCATTGTGGTAACTTAATTTAATTTCTTTAACAGCAACCCAGATAAGATAAGGACATGCTGCACCAAGCTCGTAACGCTGAGCCCTCTTTCTGGGTCACGAACTCTCTCCTCAGTCTGGGTTGCTGTTAAGG